TAACATCACCCTGATATCAAAACGAGGTAAAGATATAACCAAAAAAGAAAACTACAGGCCGATATTCTTGATGAATATAGATGCAAAAATCCTCAATAAAATACTAGCAAACAGAATACAACAACACATACGTAAAATTATTCAACACGATCAAGTGGGATTCATCCCAGGGATGCAAGGTTGGTTCAACATACACAAATCAATAAATGTGACACATCATATTAATAAAATCAAACACAAGGACCATATGATCATCTCTATAGATGCTGAAAAAGCATTTGATAGGGCCAGCCCATGGGTCACTCGGGAGAGTGTGGTGCTGATAATACCAAGGCCATGGTTTTGGATCCCATATAGGGATGGCCAGTTGCTCACTGGGTGAGCGTGGTGCTGACAACACCAAGTAAAGGGTTAAGATCCCCTTCCCGATCATCTTAAAAAAAAAAAAAAAGCATTTGAGAAAATTCAACACTCATTCATGACAAAGACCCTCTATAAGTTAAGTATAGACGGAAAGTATCTCAACATAATTAAAACCATATATGACACACCACTGCCAATGTCATCCTGAATGGGGAAAAGCTGAATGCTCTTCCTTTAAGAACAGGAACCAAACAAGGATGCCCACTCTCTCCAGTCCTATTCAACATAGTGTTGGAAGTACTAGCCAGAGAAATCAGAGAAGAGAAGGAAATAAAGGGCATCCACATTGGAAAAGATGAAGTCAAACTGTCCCTGTTTAAAGATGACATGATCCTATATATTGAACAGCCTAAAACATCTACAAAAAAACTCTAGGAGGTGATAAATGAGTTCAGCACAGTAGCAGGATACAAAATCAACACACCAAAATTAGTAGCATTTCTATTCTCCAATAGTGAACATGCAGAAAGAGAAATCAAGAAAGCTTGCCCATTTCCAATAGCCACCAAAATTAAAATACTTAGGAATTGAATTAACCAAGGATGTGAAAAATCTCTGTAATGAGAACTACAAACCATTCCTGAGAGAAATTAGAGAGGATACAAGAAGATGATATACCATGCTCTTGGATTGGAAGAATCAATATAGTGAAAATGTCCATAGTACCCAAAGTGATATACAAATTCAATGCAATCCCCATCAAAATTCCAATGACATTTTTCTCACTAATGGAAAGAACTATCCAGACATTTATATGGAAAAACAAAAGATCATGCATAGCCAAAGCAACGCTGAGCAAAAAAATCAAGCTGGAGGCATAACCCTACCTGACTTTAAACTATACTACAAAGCTATAATAACCAAAACAGTATGGTACTGGCATAAAAACAGACACACTGATCAATGGAATAGAATAGAGAATCCAGAAATCAACCCACACACCTACAGCCATCTGATCTTTGACAAAGGCACCAAGCCTATTCACTGGGGAAGAGACTGCCTCTTTAGCAAATGGTGCTGTGAGAACTGGGTATCAATATGCAGGAGAATGAAACTAGACCCATACCTCTCACCATACAATAAAAGCAACTCAAAATGGATTGAGGATTTAAATATACACCCTGAAACAATAAAACTTATTAAAGAAAACGTAGGAGAAAAACTTCAGCAAATAGGACTTGACACAGACTTCATGAATACGACCCCAAAAGCATGGGCAACCAAAGGAAAAATAAACAAATGGGATTATATCAAACTAAAACCTTCTGCACAGCAAAGGAAACAATTAACAGAGCTAAAAGACAACCAATAGAGTGGGAGAAAATATTTGCAAAAGATACATACGACAAAGGATTAATATCCAGAATATACAAGGAACTCAAACAACTTGACAAGAAAAAAACAAGCTACCCAATTAAGAAATGGACAAAGAGCTAAGTAGGCATTTCTCTAAGGAAGATATACAAATGGCCAACAGACATATGAAAAAATGCTCAACATCACTCAGCATCCGGCAAATGCAAATCAAAACTACAGTGAGATATCATCTCACCCCAGTTAGCATGGCTAAAATCCAAAAGACTCTTACCAGACACATCATGCAGCAGCCAACCCACACTGCCCTTTTAGTCTTACCCTCAACATTCCACCATGGAGTAAGGAAGAAATTCTTACTCTAAGCAACTAGGTTTTGTGTCACTTTGTTACACAGCTGATTATTAGAACACCAAACAAGTCATTAGAAACCATAGACAGTACTCTGATATGCAACAGTAAGCATGTAGGTTGACACTGAACATTAGGTCCAAAATAAAGCCACCATTTCACATCTTATATTACATCTCAAACTCTAACTGAGAATGTCAACTTTCAGTTAACTACTTTGTCACTTTTCTTTCTTAACCAACTGTTAGCTATGGTTCTAGTTTATAAACATACTGATGACTAATGCACACACCCATTTTCCTCATTCATTTCTAAGTGATTACCTGAAATAGGAGAAAATAAAGTACAATATGTAAGAAAGTTTAAAACCATGACCTTTTCTTGAACTAGAAACAGAAAACTGTAGAGTAAGAAAAACTACACGTGGAATCACTGACATAAATTTATAGAAGCAAAATGTACAAATTATGAAAATCTGCAATTTCTGTTTTTATTCTTTGCATGCCTTTTTATTGGCTCTTTATGAATGTCCCACTAACTTCTGAAGGCTTTCTAACCTCCGACTCTTAAGGATGTCCCCACAGGTGCTTGTTAGAAGCACAGGTCACAAGGGAGTGAACCTCATCACCCAGGAAACATGCCCTTCAGTGTTTTACAAGAATATTTCCAATGGAACAAAGTTATTGTCTTTATAACTACCACCACCTCCTCCTGCTATATACGCAGTGTATACAGAAATCAGAATAAATGAAAAGAATAAGCAATGAAAATAGCAAAATTGACACCACAAAGGAATAGACATGAGGAATAAGGAAGAGTCCAGGAAACATCCCATTTCACTGGCTTGGGTCACTGCATGGATTGTAGTGATATCATATGTAAGAGAAAAGTAGACATCATTTTCATTTTGGATTCATTACCTTAAGGTACCTTTTGAATAGGTACAAAAAGCAGTCAACAGCGAGTTGAACCTATGACCCAAGGAAAAGAGAAGTAGAAAAGGGAAGAAACTAAAGAGAACCAAGAGTGCAAACTACAGAGGACTGACTCAGTCAAGAAGAACACAGTGAGAAGAATAGAACCCACAATGAAGCCCTGTGATGAGCAATGTTTAGAAGAATTCAGAAGAGAAAAAACCATCAGTAATGGCATGAGAGAAACTAACACAGAAGAATTTCCATGAGAAGATCATGAACAGCAGTTTCGAATGTGGCAGAAGATTCAAGCTAGAAAAAGACTACAGAATCGGCACTGGATTTCACCGTAATGTAAGTGATAATTCCATGTTTTATCCATGAATCAAGTACAGTCTTCCAAATCTGTACACAAACCACAGGACTTGTAAGTGAAGCCATCTTGAACCAACAGCCTCAATCACAGCACCAGGTCACAAAAGCTGCATTTGACATCCAGGCAATGCTAGCATGAAAACTGCCCAGCTGAGTACACTCAACGTGTCGATCCATAGAACTTCAAGGAAATAAAATGGCCAGATATTTTAAACCATTGCGTTTTGATTCGTTCTCACACAGCAAATGCTAAATAATACCTGTAAGTCCCCAGAACTCAGTACATTTAAACAAAATTATGAGGGTGAGAAAGTCTTAAATTACATGAAACCTTATAGTCTGTTTATTCAGCAACATGTGCCTTGGTTACTCACTAACCATTTCCACTGTGGAAAGCTATGTGTTTATTTCCAGGTTGGCAGTCAAAAACATTCTAATAGAGATGGAATTTCAGAATTTAGTGCCAGGGCCAGCCCGTGACTCACTTGGGAGAGGGTAGTGCTGATAACACCGAGCAAGGCAAAACATTTGGATCCCCATATAGGGATGGCCGGTTAGCTCACCTGGGAAAGCGTGGTGCTGACAATACCAATTCAAGGGTTAAGATCCCCTTACCAGTCATCTTTTTAAAAACAACAACAATAAAAGAATTTAGTGCCAATAAATCCTTACATCCCATGAGAATTTGGCATATTTTCTCCTCAGGTTCCATTCCAATCATGTAAAAAAAAGTGCCTTTTTGACATGACATCAGAAAGACTAGAGACAAATTTTTAGTCAACTTACATACTCTGAAATATTATATCTTGCTATATCTACATGCAAACTTGACCTTATGTATGTACATTTCCTTCAAGCTGAGGTTTACTCATTTCTACTTTTCCATTTTAATTCATGCTCTCCATAAAACCCAGGTAATACAGTGAAAAAAATGAGGAATAAATAAAGAAAAAAAATCACTAGAGATTTATCCATCTTTTCTTGCTCTTGGAAATGAATAGCACACTCCGGCAGCTTAGCTGGGAGAGGAGGGAATGGAGTGGATTAAGGAGAGAACTGTTACAGCTTGACCCTGGATTCTCCTGCCCGAAACTCTATATATTAGCTGGAAAAGACAAGCAAACAAACAAAAAGCCACCCGATGAGACAACAATCCTTTATGGTCAATAAGTTGTAAGAAAGACTCATTAAACGTGCATCTGCAAGTACATTAATTGGTATACATTAAACACAGAATTTATTTTTGAGTTAATGAAGACATACATTACCTACTGATTTAGCAAGAATCATCATTACTTAAAATAAAACTTCATCATTTAGGGCTGAACCCGTGGCTCACTTGGGACAGTGCGGCACTGGGAGCATAGCGGCGCTGGGAGCGCTGAGGCTGCAGGTTCAGATCCTATATAGGGATGGCTGGTGCGCTCACTGGCTGAGCGCGGTGCGAGTGACACCACGCCAAGGGTTGCGATCCCCTTACCGGTCACAAAAAAACTTCATCATTTAAACCAAAGAAAAACACATTGTGTCATTACTAAAACTAATGCTATAGAAATATAGTTAGGCTATATTAACTATTTTCATATTAATGTAATGACTCCACACATGACTACAGATAAGTGTTTCCACTACAACACATCTTATGTATATGTACCTAAATATCTCTTTAGTAAACATCTTGCAACTCAACATCTTTTGCCCATGATTATATAGGTAAAAAAAGTACATTATGGGGCTGGCCCATGGCCCACTTGAGAGAGTGTGGTGCTGACACCAAGGCCAAGGGTTCAGATCCCTATATAGGAATGGCCGGTTAGTTCTCTTGGTAGAGTGCGGTGCTGACAACACCAAGTCAAGGGTTAAGATCCCCTTACTGGTCATCTTTAAAAAAAAAATAAAATAAAATAAAGTAAAATGCACATTATGTATATTTCTTTTGGTACCCTATTCCAGTAACGTTACCCAGTGATAGATCTCCCTGCACCCAAACCCTCATGTAGTATGCTCTGACAACGAACTGGGCTTTGCTACATGACTTGATTTCGCCAACAGCATATTAACAAATGTCATGCAAACATAAGTTTGACAAGTACTGGCCACTGCTGATTGCCTTCTTAAATACAATCATAATGTGAAGAAGCCTGGGGCTACACTTTTGGAGACACAGGGCCCAGCCAAGAGTCAGCACAAACCACAGGATATGTGAGTGAAGCCATCTTGAACCAACGAGCCTCAGTCAAGGCACCAGTGACTAAAGCTGAACTGCCCAGTTAAACACACCCAAAATGTGGATTCATGGAACTTCAACATAATAAAATGGCTAGGTGCTTAAAACCATTTGGGTTTTGATTTGTTCCTTACATGGCAAATGCTAAATGATACACCTAAGCCCCATAACTCAATATGTTTTGAACAAAATTATGTGGGAGGGAAACCTTGAATTACATGTCAAATACAGTCAATACACCTTCATAACCACAGGGATGAGTTTGGCAAATTACAATGAATGTCAATTAAGAGGACTTCATTGAGGTTCCTGGTGCTAACGCAGGCTATGTGAACCAGTAAAAGCAATTGTTTGCACATCAGTAAACTATGGTGCAAGATTTTCTGGTTTTTTTGTTTTGTTTTTTTAGTATCATGTAGAAGTTGTTTACTTTAAAAACATAAACAGTGTCTGTTTCTTATAAGTCAGTAGTGAACTGTACCAGCATACTTTCAAAATCTCGTGGAAAAACATAATTAAAAGAAAATAGGGATCTCTCCATGAAGTGTCTGAAGCACACTAGTATTCTAATTTTCCCATTTGAGTAATGTAAAATTGACTCCTATATATATATATATATATATCAGCAAAAGTTGTGATTTTCAGGAATAGAATACTGATGTTAAAGGAAGTACTTGTTATTTACTCTCTAATGTGAAGAAGCCTGGGGCTACACTTTTGGAGACACAGGGCCCAGCCAAGAGTCAGCACAAACCACAGGATATGTGAGTGAAGCCATCTTGAACCAACGAGCCTCAGTCAAGGCACCAGTGACTAAAGCTGAACTGCCCAGTTAAACACACCCAAAATGTGGATTCATGGAACTTCAACATAATAAAATGGCTAGGTGCTTAAAACCATTTGGGTTTTGATTTGTTCCTTACATGGCAAATGCTAAATGATACACCTAAGCCCCATAACTCAATATGTTTTGAACAAAATTATGTGGGAGGGAAACCTTGAATTACATGTCAAATACAGTCAATACACCTTCATAACCACAGGGACGAGTTTGGCAAATTACAATGAATGTCAATTAAGAGGACTTCATTGAGGTTCCTGGTGCTAACGCAGGCTATGTGAACCAGTAAAAGCAATTGTTTGCACATCAGTAAACTATGGTGCAAGATTTTCTGGTTTTTTTGTTTTGTTTTTTTAGTATCATGTAGAAGTTGTTTACTTTAAAAACATAAACAGTGTCTGTTTCTTATAAGTCAGTAGTGAACTGTACCAGCATACTTTCAAAAGCTCGTGGAAAAATATAATTAAAAGAAAATAGGGATCTCTCCATGAAGTGTCTGAATCACACTAGTATTCTAATTTTCCCATTTGAGTAATGTAAAATTGACTCCTATATATATATATATCAGCAAAAGTTGTGATTTTCAGGAATAGAATACTGACGTTAAAGGAAGTACTTGTTATTTACTCTTTGTGGTGACATGATCCACAGAAAGCACTGGAGATCAAAAAAGGATAGGGACGTTTAAGGCAATGTATGTTAAAGCATACATTGTGCAAAGTTTACTTTAGCATTATTCTTCTAAGATAGAAATAACTGGCAAAATATTCCTGAACTACCAGAAAGAAACTATGAAGATATAAAACCATGAGCATATCTCTAGATGCCAAAATTGGTGATAGGCTGGGTCTGAGGGAGCTCAGACACTAGGAAACAATGAGGGAAGGTTGAAGGAAGGGGCGTATGTTCAGAGAGCACTGCAGACAGATCCTCTCAGCGGTGACAGGTTATTCCTCCACCCCACAGAACACCTTCAAACCCTCTTCAGTGACTAACATCTCCTAGGTCCTTGCCTGTTCTTCTCAAACTCACTATCCCTTTTGAAAGTTGGCCCAAACCTTCCAATATCACAGTCTCAGGTAGCTCCTGAATGCGGTATTATCGTCCAACTCCTGTGTACTATAAGCATTGGACTGAATAACTGCGTGGGCTGCAGAAGCTGCGCCTTTCTGGGACTCTCTTGCCTCTGTCTGACACAGTCCTGAGAGGGTTCAGGCCACAGTGATGTTCTCCCAGGTGGGATTCCTATTCATATTCATTGGGAACCCGCCTTCAAACTCTGTCACAGCTCCTGTACCCCACGGAAAACCAGGATGTCATCCCACGCCCCAATGTCCTTCCTAGAAGTCACTGTCCCTGAAAACTTGATCTTCTATCAACTTCTGTAAACTCAGACAGGAGTGCTGGGCAGACCACACAGTGCAGAAACTTGACCTCAAGGAGAGACACCCACGACCACAGCAGCCACAGAGGAACAGTCTGCACATACCTCACAATCTCACATTCACCTCTGGGATCTGGGGCATGACATTAATGTCCACACGCTCACGTTACAGATGATGAAGTGAACGTCCCATAGGTCGGTACCAGGTTCCTGATGGCGAAGCTGGAACGTGACCTCCCCACACCTCCCAGGCTCGCTGTCTTCACACACCCCCACCCACGTTCCCATCGCCACTTGGGACCTGAGCCCCCGTCCAGGGACATCTGGAACCGGGTTCTGCACACCCGGCAGCGCGCGCCCGCCTTCCAGCAGCGCAGTCCTCTGACGAAACCATCTGGACCCGTCTGGAAAGCGCAGCCCGGGCGCCCCTTTCCGGCCAAGGCCAGGTCCGCGATCGCGCCGCACGTCAGGCCCCGCCCGCCCGGGGCCCGCGGCGCTTCTGCCCCCAAGTGCCGGGACACCGTCCCGCTCCCCAGGAGGCCTGAGGCCCACGGGCTCCTCTTTCCCCATCGCACCCACCTTCACGGACGCACAATGCAACCCCATGGTCTAAAGAGTAGTTTGGGGACAGCGGAAGCACCCGGAATCTCCAGAGAAAAGATGGCGGTGTGGGCTGAGCTGCACATGCTCAGAACATACCCAGAAAAGCCCTTCCCATAGTCCTGCGCAGGTGGCCTCATTGTAGGGCGAAACTACATTTCCCAGATGGCAGAGCGAGTGGAGCAGCACATGCGTAGAAAGAACTTGGAATGTCTGTTTTGTACTCCTGTGCTGGTGACGTCATTGGAGTGCGAGACTACATTTCCCACAAGCCACTGGGGTCATCCTTTAGGTACCAAAGGAGAACGTTTTGTTTATTATCTTAGCAGGGGATACTGTCACCAGGAGACCTGGACCTGACGGATGAAGACTGGTCTCTTTCCACGTTATTACGAGGTAGAATTCTGATTCTTTATTAAATCTCAGTTTGACAACATGGGGCATTGTGAGAATAACGGGGAAATTCGAATGTGGGCCAATTACAGCATGATGTTAATAAGTAATTTCACTTTTTTTAGTTGTCATATAGGTATTGCTATTCTAGAACCCACGTTTATTTTTCCAGATGCATTTTAGAGGATGAAAAAATCATGCATCTATTTTCCTTTAAGTGGTTAAACAAATGAGAATTAATACGGTAGCTCTCTTCCAAGCCATTACGAAATGTTTGTTCTCATCCAGTATACTCACAGCTGGCTGTCCCTTTCCTCGGGAATTGGGAGTCGGTCCGTGGAACCTGGAAGGGGGAGTGGGTGGGA